AAAACAAAATTTATGAAATTCCATTTGCAAATATGTCTGTAATCTCAGAATCTATTGGTAAGTTGCAAAGAAATGCATAAATCGTTAAAAAGAAAAGTCTACGACAAAAAGATTGTAAATATACTTAATTTACATTTAAGAGAAAGTAAAAACAAACTCTAAGAAAAAATATCTTTCAACAGCGAGAAGAATTATGTAAATATCATTTTACCGCAGAAGAGAAAAAAAAATCCACATATTGTATGTAAAGTTATTCAAGATTTAATATAAAGTATAATTATATTATTTAATTTTGCTATTTTTTTTAGAACAATTGCAAATATTATACTTCTGATTTTTTAATCAATAAGATAATTCCGAAAAACGTTTAATGCTTTATTAAAAACTGTATTTGTTTCTGTTCTGGATTAACAATTATTTTTTTGAGTCTTATAAAATACGCAAACTTTTTTGTATTATTATATTATTTTAAAAGTTAACACTTGTGCTAATTTCTATATTTTATAATTTACCTCTATTTTTTTTCTTGCTTTTATTTTTATTTTAAATTGTTTTTTTCCAAATTACTGAAATAATCGATTAATGTTCTTGTATATAATTATGCCAATATGTATAATTTAAAAATTTCTAGAAAGCATTTTGAGCAAACCAACATCTCCCAGAGCAGTTGTAGAGTTCCATAATGGATTTCTAATGAAGAAAATGACATTTCTGTGATTGACATTCAGGTAAAAAATTTAAGTTTTCAGTCTGTATTTTCTTTTTAATTTAACGATACATACATATAAAAACGTTGATTCAGTTAATTTTACTAAATATAAAAAGGCCAAAATATTATTTTTTTTACAGATGGGACCAACCTATATTTACAAGGAAAGTAATACAAGGATATACAGTGCAGTGTTGGTTCATCGAGAACCAAAAAAAGATTCAAATTTGCAATGACAAAAATATCTCAGCTACAATATTGGAGTGCACGGTGCATAATCTAAAACCTAACATGGCGTACTTCTTTCAAGTACAAGCGCATACTAAAGTTGGTGATGGCCTTTACACAGATTTGATTGATGTATCGACTACGCACGAAAATCCAATGCCGCAATTATTGATAGTATCGGAAAATGATATCCATATATGGGATGTGGATCAAATACCAACGTTAAGCTCGTGAAGGAAAATAACGTAGTAGATGTCACTTATTCGATAGCGGAACATAAAATTTATTGGAGCAACGTTATGAGAGAACTAAAAATATTGGATATAAATGAAAACAAAATTACAAAAATAGCTAAGCTTCAAAGTATTGCGTACCATCTCTGCATTGACTGGGTAGCAAGAAATCTGTACTGGATAGAATTAGACAATTTAAATTTTGGTAACATCATAAAGTTCGACTTAACAATGTGGGAAAATGGCATAATCAAATATAATAAAATTTCAGAAATAAAATCCTACAAAGTTTTAATATATAAAATGGAATAATGTCACATGACATTAAACTATATTTTTTAATGAAGTATATATTTAAATTAATTTTAAATATTTCGCAGGTATATCAAGGAAATGTAAAGAATTTAGAAAGAACGGGCATAGAGACACCTGCTGCCATAAAAATGCTTCGAGAAAATGCTTCTTCGCAAGAAAAAAAAATGTTTTTAGAAGAGGCCAGACTTATGAAGTACTTCCAACATAAACATGTGCTAAAATTGTTCGTCATCTGCTTAGACCCGGAACCTCCATCAATTGTGTTGAAATTAATGGAAACTGGTGATCTATTACAGTATTTAAGAGGTAGTCGAAAACTGCAACCGTCAGATTCACACGCTCTGCGTCTGCAAGATTTGTTCGCCATATGCGAAGATGTTGCACGAGGTTGTCGCTAGATTGTCTTGAAGATCTACGTTTCGTTCATAGAGATCTCGCATGTCGAAATTGCTTAGTATCCGCGAGAGATCGCGAAAACCGTGTCGTCAAAATCAGTGATTTTGGATTAACTAGAGATATTTACAAGAGTGACTATTACCGCAAGGTAAATACAATTATTTAAAAAAAATAGAATTTTTAAAAAATATTTGTGTGTTCCTTTTTTTGTCGTAATAATATAGTACATTTTTACTTTAAATAGAAAATTTAAGTAAAATAAATAATTTCTATTTATACATATAAAGCAAAAGATAAGTAAACGTTTTTCATTTTAGTATGAATACTCTAAAAACGGATAACTTGAACCAGAAGATTAACTTCGCTGAAATCATATGTTTTAGAAAGGACAAGGTTTGCTTCCTATTCGCTGGATGGCACCAGAATCTTTGGTGATCGGAATATTTACTTCCCAGAGCGACGTTTGGTCATTCGGGGTTATAATGTGGGAAATTACATCGATGGGTGAGCATCCCTACACTGGCAGAGATAATTTGGATGTGATAGATTATGTACGCGCTGGAGGCAGGTTGCCGATGTTTCTAAATTGTCCACCGACTTTGTACGAGTTGATGCTGAATTGCTGGAGTTCAGCGAATGATAGACCAAACTTCAAACTTTGTCTCAAAAATATTATAGCTCTAAGAAATAACATAGAAGATACATTACTGAGTTCAATGGATATTATCTAACCGATAAAATTAAATTAATTAATGATGTTATTTTCCAAATAATCCAATGAGAATCTCAACGTAAGAAAAATAATTGTAAATAAATAATATTCTGCCGTTTTCAAGTTTAATCTCAATATGTTAGATTTATCAATAAAAATATAGACATTTTTCAATCATACTATACGAAAAATTTTGATGATTAGAAAGCACAACACTTGTTCTTGCAACAGTAAACAACGTAATGCTGATGCTAGTACTTTCAAATAATTGAAACGAAACCTCTTTCTCTAATGGTTCTGATTACTACAATTATCGGTAGATTGCTACAGTAGTTTTAGAAATAATGTCTATTTTATATTATATTAGTACTCTTTTTTATATTATATTATTTCTTACTTAAATGTTTAAATAAAATATACAATCATATTACAAAAATATATATAACATTTTTTAATATTAATACATAATATAGAAGAATTATATTTTATAATGTGTACATTTTTTAATTCCCTCTTTTTTGTTTACTCAAAATCTGGATTGGGTTACGACGGAATTGATTTTAAGCGCAGAAATATTTTTAAAAATGCAGATAAAACAGAGAATCACTCTAATTTATTATGAAGGAAAGATCACTTTCTTAAACACGATCAAATTCCGATTAAGCCCGATCAGCGATAAATTCAACTGATTGTGAGATAGCAATTTTAAATTCGTATCGTTCCTAATCTCTTCTCTCCCATATATCAAACAACAAAGAAATTAATAATTACATAATTTTACAAATAAATATCACTGGAAACATTAATGTTTTTACCGTAGTACTTTATTATAACTTGCAAATATCAATTTCCAAATTAAGGCATAAATTTCCACGATAAATGATATTTATAGTAAAATTGTGAAGTGAGTCTCGTAACGCGTCCGTGTAAGTAACTAACTATTTCCAATTATAACTCAAAAACTAAGTTTCGGACAAAATTTTGTAAAAGAAAAGACCGTCTCAGAATTCGCTCAAGAATATGACATTTCAAAGACATCAGGTTATTTTGAATCACTCTGTATAACAGAACAGAGCTACTAAATATCGAAACAAGGTCGAGTATTGGTATAATAGAATTACGAGTTGTATCAATTAATAATGAAGCCTAATAATGAAGCCAATCGTCACACAAATCAACAATATACGTCTCCAATCAATTTTTTGCTACGCCTTTGACTTTATATATAATTTTAACTGTACATATATTTATTATATAGCTATATATATGCATACGATCTTACCCAAGTAATGTAGGTTAATTATAACGTCGTGTTCTTCAGGATTTGTTCGCGTTAAAAAAATATAACGATAACCAAAAAGAAATTCGACAAAAGTTTAAGTACAACAATTTATATAATTTCTATGATCTCAAAAAGACAATATTTATGACACTTATATTCTTAAAGAACAAACATTATTGAAACTTCAACGATAACAAATAAATTTTTGAAAAGCAGGTATGTTAAGATAAAGTCACTTATTTAGAGAAGTTAACTAACTTACCGTAAAAAAACCAAATCGTTAATCGTCGAAATTGTTTCAACAATCGAAAAGAACTACACTTTCATGTATTATTTGTTAAGAGAAGCGGTTATGAATTCTTAGTAACTTATTCTACGTGACTTTGGGCTATCACATACTGACGTCATAACAGACCGTCTGAATCGACGAGCATCGAGCATTGAATCACCACATATTAATTTATATAACATGCTCATTGATCTAAATCCGATCTTATTGACCCCTATTTGATGCAACATAGCTCTTTCTCTTCGATATAAGAATCATGTTTGGTATGCAAGAAGATGTCTTGAAAAACAATATAAACAGATTTAATAAGAAATGTAACTACATTGTATTTAACACATTATCAACCAGGAGTATAAAGAATAATATCAAACCGATATGATTAAACAAATAAGAAATTTTAAGGCAATTTTACTTATTCGTACATATATTATATAACATTAAAAGTACTAGAAATAACCGTGTTTTTGGCCTAGCGATGCTTACTTAATTCTTCTCGTATTTAATACTTTATCAAGGATATTCCAGTATCCGAGAACAACGATTCATCATTCACAACGACCCATCTTGATAGTGTGAATGTAAGAAACAAAATTGATGAGATTCCATTTGCAAATATGTCTGTGATCTTAGAATCTCTTGGTAAGTTGAAAAGAAAGTCATAAATCGTTAAAAAGAAAAGTCTACGACAAAAAAATTGTAAATATAATTTACATTTAAGAGAGAGAGAGAGAGAGCAAAAATAAAATTTAAAAAGAAATATTTTTCAACAGCGATAAAAATATAAATTTTATTTTGCCGCAAAAGAGACAGAAAAATCCACATATTGTATGTTTTGTTGCAATATTCCTAAAAGCGGACATTTTATCATTGCTGCAATTCCACAGCAATGATGCAGCAACATTTTGCAGTGAATTTGCAAAGTTGCAATATTGCGGTGAAAGATTGCTACAATATGTATGCAATCTTTGTGTGCTGTATGGGAACTAATATTTTACCGTTTTCAAGTTTAATCTTAATATGTTAGATTTATCGATAAAAATAAAGATATTTTTCAATCATACTTTACAAAATTTTGATGATTAGAAAGCACAACACTTGTTCTTGCAACAGTAAACAACGTAATGCTGATGCTAGTACTTTCAAATAATTGAAACGAAACCTCTTTCTCTAATGGTTCTGATTACTACAATTATCGGTAGATTGCTACAGTAGTTTTAGAAATAATGTCTATTTTATATTATATTAGTACTCTTTTTTATATTATATTATTTCTTACTTAAATGTTTAAATAAAATATACAATCATATTACAAAAATATATATAACATTTTTTAATATTAATACATAATATAGAAGAATTATATTTTATAATGTGTACATTTTTTAATTCCCTCTTTTTTGTTTACTCAAAATCTGGATTGGGTTACGACGGAATTGATTTTAAGCGCAGAAATATTTTTAAAAATGCAGATAAAACAGAGAATCACTCTAATTTATTATGAAGGAAAGATCACTTTCTTAAACACGATCAAATTCCGATTAAGCCCGATCAGCGATAAATTCAACTGATTGTGAGATAGCAATTTTAAATTCGTATCGTTCCTAATCTCTTCTCTCCCATATATCAAACAACAAAGAAATTAATAATTACATCTCTATTAATGAAAAAATTCTGCAAGTATCGTTGAGCCGATTAAATTTATCAGAATTTGATCTAGAGACGAACTCTCACACGACTTATGTCTCGCCCGATGATCGTTTCCGAATTATTTCACGTACTGTAACATATATGTATATGCGCGGAATATTAAATTATATAAATATTTTAAATTATAGATTATTTATCTATTAAACGATTGATATATCACAAAGCCCTTCGTTATAAGTTAATTACTCGATCCTGCGATTTGATTGATTGTTTAATTGCGCGTTTTCAATCCGAATCATATTTAGATCATCGAAAAGTTGAACGATAAAGTATTGGACAAAACATATTTAACTTTAAATATTGTTAAAGAAATCATTATTGCCCATAAAGAGAGATAGCAACAACATGATGATTTATTATTTTAGACTTCTGTCATTACGCGCTTTCTTTACTTGATTAAATATATAAATTACGCGAAATACGCTCTTTGAATTGTCGCCATATATGTAGTTACATCGTATTTCTGAAAGTTAATTACTCATTAATAATATTAATAATATGAAATTAAATAAATAAATCAAGTGTAACTCTTTTTAAAGTAGTGACGAGTATCTTCACAGAAGAAAATGAGTCACAAGTGGAATGTAGTAGATGAAAAATAATGGTTCGGCAAAAATGCATAATTTAAATGATTAAGGTTGATGATCTTTCTGATGGTCACTAATCACAAATACGCAAGCGCGTTATAAGTCGCTCGAATCGAACCGTATGATATTAACGCTTCAGTCCATCAAGAACGCCGTGCATGAATAGTAGACCCTCAAGTGCATACATAGTATTTATATATATATATATACTTTCATAGAAAAAAGTGAGCATTTATTAACCAAAAGTTTTATAATTTGATGATATGTAAGATGCATCGTGATTGGTTATAAAAAGATATTTTGAAAAGTAGTTTTAGGAGAGATTTGATGATTGATGTATTAATCAAATTTCAAAAAATGATATACGTAAGGAAATGTTGATTCGATTAGCACATCGATATTATTCAGAATATCGATAAAATCACTATTCATAGTTAACCCGCCAAAGATTGCACGGAAACTGATTGAGCGCCAGTATTTACAAAAAAAAAAAACAACATTATCATGTCAAAAACGATATTATGTGTTTTATTAAAAGTGTTAATATTAGCGAAAGCGGTTATCATGTCAAAGTATTCGGATTCAGACTCCATACAGGTAAAAGATTGCTTTGTCGAATAAAATTAAATGTTATTATTGCTTATAGTTTATTTGGATAACTAAAACTGTATATGATAATAAAATATATGTATTGTATAATAATAACATAAAACTATATAACATAAAGCATTAGAAGAATATGTGTAATGTTACGAAAAAAAAGAATGTATAAATGTTGAAAATTTTGTTTATAAATGAATGTTATATAATACAAAATTAAGCCTAATTAAGATGGTGTATTAAAACTTGATTATATTATCTTTGTGTTTAAAAATAAGTATTTTTAACATCAATAAGGATTTCTGTTTACTCTCCGCTAAATTAATACATACATATGGTTAGATATGATTGGTTAGATAGACTTGAACTGATTTTTATGTGATTTTTCTTCAATTACTAAGACCTCTTTATTTTTTGAAATATTTATAACCATTTATTAGTATAATATTAATTAGTATAATAAGCTTTCTACTAAATTAGTTTTTGTTTAACAAAATTAATTTAGAAAGTCAGTATCACTTTTTTTTAAGGATAGTTATATGTATATGTATATACATATATAGGGTGATTCAAAAGAACCAGATGTCCTTGAAATGTCATATTCTTGAGCAAATTCTGAGATAACTTTTCCTTTTACAAAATTTTGTCCAAAGCTTAGCTTTTGAGTTATAATTGAAAATAGTTACCTACTTACAAGTTTGGGATAAAGTCACTTTCATGTATTATTTGTTAAGAGAAGCGGTTATGAATTCTTAGTAACTTATTCTACGTGACTTTGGGCTATCACATACTGACGTCATAACAGACCGTCTGAATCGACGAGCATCGAGCATTGAATCACCACATATTAATTTATATAACATGCTCATTGATCTAAATCCGATCTTATTGACCCCTATTTGATGCAACATAGCTCTTTCTCTTCGATATAAGAATCATGTTTGGTATGCAAGAAGATGTCTTGAAAAACAATATAAACAGATTTAATAAGAAATGTAACTACATTGTATTTAACACATTATCAACCAGGAGTATAAAGAATAATATCAAACCGATATGATTAAACAAATAAGAAATTTTAAGGCAATTTTACTTATTCGTACATATATTATATAACATTAAAAGTACTAGAAATAACCGTGTTTTTGGCCTAGCGATGCTTACTTAATTCTTCTCGTATTTAATACTTTATCAAGGATATTCCAGTATCCGAGAACAACGATTCATCATTCACAACGAGCCATCTTGATAGTGTGAATGTAAGAAACAAAATTGATGAGATTCCATTTGCAAATATGTCTGTGATCTTAGAATCTCTTGGTAAGTTGAAAAGAAATTCATAAATCGTTAAAAAGAAAAGTCTACGATAAAAAAAGATTGTAAAAATTATTTACATTTAAGAGAAAGAGAGTAAAAATAAAATCTAAAAAGAAATATTTTTCAACAGCGAGAAGAATGTATGAAAATTTCATTTTTCTGCAAAAGAAAAATAAAAATCCACATATTGTATGTAAAATTATTCAAGGTTTAATATAAAGCAGTTAATTATATTATTTAATTTTGCTATTTTTTTAGAACAATAGCAAATATACTTCTGATTTTTTAATCAATAAGATATCTCTGAAAAACGTTTAATGCTATATTAAAAACTTTGTATTTCTTTCTGTTCTGGATTAACAATTACTTTTTTGAATTTCATAAAACACGTAAATTTTTTTATATTATTTTATTATTTTAAAAGTCAACACTTGTGCTAATTTCCATGTTTTGTAACTAATGTTTATCTTTTTCTTGCTTTTATTTTTACTTCAAATTGTTTTTTTTTTTTTGAATTATTGAGATAATCAAGTTAATATGCCTGTATATAATTTTGCCAATATGTGCAATCTTAACATTTTTAGTAAGCATTTGGAGCAAACCAACATCCTCCAGAGCATTTGTAGAGTTCCATAATGGATTTCTAAATGAAGAAGACAACATTTCTGTGACATTCAGGTAAAAAATCTAAGTTCTCAACCTGTATATTTTTAAATTTAACGACACGTACATATAAAAATGTTGATTCGGTTTTAATTTTACTAAATATAAAAAAGCCAAAATATTATTTTTTTTTTGCAGATGGAACCAACCTGAATTTATAGAGAAATTAATACAAGGATATACAGTGCAGTGTTGGTTCATCGAGAACCAAAAAAAGATTCAAATTTGCGACAACAAAAATATCTCAGCTACAATATTAGAGTGCACGGTGCACAATGTAAAACCTAACACGACGTACTTCTTTCAAGTACAAGCGCATACTAAAGTTGGTTCCAGCCTTTACACAGATTTGATTAATGTATCGACTACGCACGAAAATCCAATACCGCAATTATTGATAGTATCGGATAATGATATCCATATATGGGATGTGGATTCAAATACCAACGTTAAGCTCGTAAGGAAAATAACGTAGTAGATGCCACTTATTCGATAGCGGAACGTAACATTTATTGGAGCAACTCTATGACAGAACTAATGATATTGAATATAAATGAAAACAAAATTACAAAAATAGTTAAGCTTCAAAGTATTGCGTACCATCTCTGCATTGACTGGGTAGCAAGAAATCTGTACTGGATAGAATTAGACAATTTAAATTTTGGTAACATCATAAAGTTCGACTTAACAATGTGGGAAAATGGCATAATCAAATATAATAAAATTTCAGAAATAAAATCCTACAAAGTTTTTTTTCCTTTAAATGTAATACCATCTAGAGGGTATGTTAACTTTCATCCAAATGAAATAATTGAACAATATTTTCATTAAAGATCTGTATTATTTAATTTTTAAATAATTTTATATGGCTTTATAATTAAGATCAAAAGTTATAAAAAAATAATAAATTAACACATTTAATTATAGGAATTTTAAATATTTACTATATATAAAAGCTTTTTTCTGCTATTGTTATAATAATGTTCTATAATAAGTAAAATAATGCATATATTTTTTAGAATTTTATATTGGACAAATTACGCTACATATGATAAACCTGATGTATTACAATCGGATCTTGATGGAAAAAACGCTCAAATATTTAAGAAAAATTTATTTGTTATATTCCCTTTCTCACGGGCAAATAATTTTATTTTTGACATAAAAATTGTCGACATGAATACTAAGAAGCCACTAATTTACTGGCTAATAGAAGATCTCTTGATTGTGACAGACATTAACGTTTCTATGTGCAATTTGACTTTACAAGGCAAAGAATTTTTAGAATATTTCTGTTGTTTAATAATTGACAAGACAAACATTTACATTTCTATACTTAACAAAGATTATATATATGTTTTGAAAAAAAAGTATGCACTTCTCGAGAGCGTAGACGCATTCAAATACATCCAAAAAATAAAAACGTCTAAGGAGATTCGTCAATTGTGTGCTTTCGGTGAATCATTGCAATCGTATCCTCCGATAAGTTGTCTGACACCTGACAAAATAGTTTACAACATAAAAGTATTGATGGTAACGGCGAAAAGTATCATTGTAAATCTTCCGGAACCGGTCTTCAAGAGTGGATGCAAAAGATACAACTTACCTACAACTCTATACACCATCTACATAAGCTATCGTTTGGATAATGAGTCTAACAAGTTCAATAATTTTACCGTGCAGACGTACAAGCGATATTACGAAATTCGGTATTTAACGCTGTTTACAGAGTACAAGTTACTGCTAGCCCTAAGCAATTTTTACTCTGATCGGTTATCGATGGACCCGTTATTCGGCTCAGAAGTGATACTGACAACTAAACCGATCAAGCTCGACGCACCGGAAAATGTGACAGTTGAGGCTCTGACACCTACTATAGCGGCAGTTTATTGGATGCCGCCCAAGAAACTGAGATCCGTGCGCGTGATCTACGAAGTATCAACATCAATTAAACAATTGGTAACCATTACGCGACAGATAAGCCAGTTCTTATCTATAGATAAAACCAAATATATGATAGGCAATACATTTTACACAATAATCGAACCATTGACACCAGGACAGAAATACACGGTGTATGTACGTGTGTATATACCGTTCAACGATTATTATAGTGACAGTTCGAGTAAAACTTTGTACATGTATTCGCAACCAAACAATATAATTTTAAGCGATGCTAGCATAAACAGTATGAATATCTTGTGGATTCCTAGCGTTAATTTGACAATTAATTACGTATTGGAATACAAAAATGTTAAGATTGAGAGACAGAAGTGGCAAATAGCAAACAATTCTAAGCAAAATAATAAGGGAGAAGTAATGTACTATATAAAAAACTTATTACCAGGAACTCTATGCAAGTTTCGTTTGATACTGAGATACCCCAAATATCAGAAAGACTTTATATGGCTATCTGATGAAAGATTCACTTTTTCAACACTGAGTAGCAACACAAGTAAGCAAATGAAAATATCATAACATTTTATGCTTATTTTAGATATAAAAATGCTTACAAAATTTAAAATCTTAGTAATTTTTAATAATAAAGTTATAAGTAAAAATAAGTTTTTAAATAAAATAAAGATATTAAGAGCATATTTTTGCGTAACAAAGGTGATATTTCAAGCAGTCCTGGAATATACAGTGTAGTTACACAATATTACCAATATATTATATCAAGCCTTGTCGCTATGGTTATTGTAATTTTCATCTACTACTATTGTAAGTATATTTGATATCCATTTAAGTTTTTAATCGTATAAAGAGATTATATCTAATGTATTGTAGTAGATAAAGATTTTCTAAGAAAAGTTAATTTACTTGTCGAAAAGGCGATATAAATTTTGCAATGTATATTATTAGATAAGTAAATTGCAATTTTATAACAGATCGACAACGTAAAAAAAGTAACAAGCAAGTTTTGCCTCTGACAATGAGCGACATCGAATTAGAGACTTTACATGAGATACCCAATGTTCCTAATGTTCAACTCAACACGTTATACAATCCTATGTTAGAATATAATTTGGATAAATATGCACTGATCGAAATCAAACGTGAAGAAATTAGACTAGAAAAACTTTTAGGCAGCGGCGCATTCGGAATGGTAAAAAATAATTTTTTCGATATAATCAAATAACTCTGCGCGCATTTATTTCTGCGTCCGTCTCTTATTCGCCTGTTTTACAATCTTTATATTATTTTATATTAGAGTCTTTTTACTCAATGTTTCTATTTAATTTGTTCAATACAATGTTATACGCTATTTATTTCTAGATCAACAGAAATTGAAACAGATACGCATGTCTCGATAAAAATAATTATATGAATAACTTTTTATAAGAGATTATAAGCAAAATTTTTGTAAGATAACATGCACATGCACTCTATTATGTATTTTTCGATAAATTGTTTAATACAAAATAAAATGATATCACTTGACATTAAGCTATATATTTTTTAATGAAGTATATATTTAAATTAATTTCAAATATTTTGCAGGTGTATCAAGGAAAAGTAAAAAATTTAGAAAAACCGGACATAGAGATATCCGTTGCTATTAAAATGCTCCAAAAAAATGCTTCTTCGCAAGAGAAAAAGAAGTTTTTAGAAGAAGCAAAGCTTATGAATCACTTTCGACATAAACATGTGTTAAGATTGCTGGCCGTCTGCTTAGACGAAGATTCTCCATTGATCGTTTTGGAATTAATGGAAACTGGTGATCTGCTACAATATTTGAGAGATAGTCGGAAATTGCAACTGTCAGATTCGCACGCTCTGCGTCTGCAAGATTTGTTCGCCATGTGCGAAGATGTTGCGCGAGGCTGTTGTTACTTGGAAAATCTGCGTTTCGTTCATAGAGATCTCGCTTGTCGAAATTGCTTAGTATCCGCGAGAGATCGTGAAAACCGTGTCATCAAAATCGGCGATTTTGGACTAGCTAGAGATGTTTACAAGGATGACTATTATAACATGGTAAATACAATTATCGTAAAAAAATAAAATTTTTTAGAAATGTTTGTGTGTTCTTTTTTTGTCGCAATAATATAATACATTTTTACTTTGAGTCGAATTTAATCAAAATAGATTATTTCTATTTATATAAAGTATAAAGCAAGAGATAAGTGAACGTATTTTGCTTTAGCACAAAGACTCTAAAAATGAGCAACTTGAAGAAGATTAACTTCGTTCAAATCACATGTTTCAGAAAGGACAAGGTCGGCTTCCTGTTTGCTGGATAGCACCGGAATCTTTGGTATATGGTGGAATATTTACTTCCCAAAGCGACGTTTGGTCATTCGGGGTTCTCATGTGAGAAATAACATCATTGGGTGAGCATCCCTACATTGGCAGAACTAATCTGGAAGTGATAGATTATGTACGCGCTGGAGGTAGGTTGCCGATGCCTCTAAATTGTTTACCGACTTTGTACGAGTTAATGCTGAATTGTTGGAGTCCAGCAAATGATAGACCAAACTTCAAACTTTGTCTCAAAAATATTATAGCTCTAAGAAATAACATAGAAGATACCTTACTGAGTCCAATGGATATTATCTAGCCGATAAAATTTAATTAATTAATGACGTTATATTCCAAATGATCCAATGAGAAGCTCAACGTAGGAAAAATAATTGGAAGTAATTAATATTCTGCCGTTTTCAAGTTTAATCTTAATATGTCAGATTTATCAATAAAAATAAAGACATTTTTCAATCATACTTCACGAAAAATTTTGATGATTAGGAAGCACAGCACTTGTTCTTGCAACTGTAAACAACATGATGCTGATACTAGTATTTTGAAATAATTGAAACAAAACTTCTTTCTCTAATGGTGCTGATTACTATAATTATCGGTAGATTGCTACAATAATTTTAGAAATAATGTCTATTTCATATTATATTAGCACTTTTTTTATATCATATTATTTCTTACTTAAATGTTTAAATAAAATATACAATCATATTACAAAAATATATATAACATTTTTTAATATTAATACATAATATAGAAGAATTAAATTTTATAATGTGTACATTTTTTTAATTTTCTGAATTTTTTTATTCTTTTGACTTTTTTTCTACTCAAAATCTGGCAGTACGATTGAATTGATTTTAAGCGCAGAAATATTTTTAAAAATACAGATAAAAAAGAGAATATAACAAATCACTCAAATTTATTGTGAAGCAAAGATCACTCTTTTAAACACGATCAAATACCGATTAAGACCGATCAGCGATACTTTTAATTGAGATAGCAATTTTAAACTCATAACTTTCCCAATCGCTTCTCTCCCATATATCAAACAACAAAGAAATTAATAATTACATCTCTGTTAACAATGAAAAATTACTGCAAGTATCGTTGATGAGCCGATTAAATTAATCGGAATTTGATCTAAAGATGGACTGTCACACAGTCTATATTTTGCCCGGCAATCCGTCATTCGTTGCCGAAATATTTCACTATGACATATATATACGCGGAATATTAAATTATACAAGTATTTTAAATTATAGATTATTTATTTGTTAAACGATTGATGTATCACAAAGCCTTTCGTTAAGTAAATTACTCGATCCTGCGATTTGATTGTTTAATTGCGCATTCTCAATCCAAATTATATTTAGATCGTCGAAAAGTTGAACGATAAAATATCGGACAAAACATATTTATCTTTAAATATTGATAAAGAAATAATTATTGTCAATGAAGAGAGATAGCAACAACACAATGATTTGTTATTTTGGACTTCTGTCATTACGTGCATTCTTTACTTGATTAAATATATAAATTACGCGAAATACGCTCTTTGAAGTTTATTGTCACCGTATATGTAGTTACATATTATTTATGAAAGTTAATTATTCATTAATAATATTAATAATATGAAATTAAAAAAATTTAGAAAGTGTAGCTTTTTTTAAAGTAGTGACGAGTAACTTTGCACAAGAAAATGAGTCACAAATGATACGCTGTTTGAAGTTTATTGTCGCGATATAATTACATATTATTTGTGAAAGTTAATTACTTATTAAAAATATTAATGATATAAAATTAAATAAATTTAGAAAGTGTAGCTCTTTTTATAGTAGTGACGAGTATCTTCACAGAAGAAAATAAATCACAAGTGCAGTGCAGTAGATGAAGAATAATGGTTCGGCAAAAGTGGGTAATTTAAATTATTTGCGTTGATGATATTTATGATCAGGTCACCAATCACAAATACGCAAGCGCGTTATGTATCGCTCGATTCGAACTGCATGATACAAACGTTTCAGTCCGTCAAGAACGCCGTGCACGAATAGTTGGCCCGAGAGCACGCTATATATATATATAATATATAAGAAATAATTGTCACAGTTGCAATTTTCAGTCAAACAAGAGATATAGAAAATATATATAATCTCGTGAAACTTGACGCACATGAATAACAAAACTAAAGATTTATAATTCAGTAATTTCCTGGTTGTCTATAATTTTCTCGAAGTAGTGACGAGTAACTTTGCACAAGAAAATGAGTCACAAATGGAATGTAGCAGGTGAAGAATAATAGTTCGGCAAAACTGCATAATTTAAATTATTATGGTTGGTGATCTTTATGATGGTCACCAATCACAAATACGCAAGCGCGTTAAGCTAACGCCAGACTATGAGCGTATTCGCGATTCGTTTATAATTCGTGAATAATGCTGATTGCTTTTCTATTAGTAAATTAAGATGAATTTCAAAAGGAGAGATTGATAACATTTATTTTATTGTTCGATATAACCGTATGCATACATGTCAGTTCAGATCGTTCGGCTTTCATGAGAAAAAGTGAACATTTATTAATCAAAAGTTTTATAATTTGATGATATGTAAAATACATCGTAATTGGTTATAAAAAAAAATTTTGAAATGTAGCGTTAGAAGAGATCTGATGATTGATGAACTAAACAAATTTCAAAAAATGATATAAGTAAGAAAATATCGATTCGATTAGCACATCAGCATTATCCAGAATATCGATAGAATCACTATTCATAGCTGAACCG